GCACTGGGAACCCATGAAAGTCATTTGACTCACTTTATTGCAGTGGTCTGGAGCCAAGCCTGTTATTTTTTTGATGTGTGCCTGCATTGTTAGGGCATCCGTACTACCTGGAGCAGATTCAACGCAATCCCTATCAAATGCCAGTAGCATTTTCCACAGAACTAGAACAATCCGACAACTCATAGGGAACCACAAAAGACACAGAAAAGTGAAAGCAATCCTAAGAAGAGCAAATCTAGAGGTAGCACATTCAGGTGTCGATCTACACTACAAAGCTATAGTAATCAAAATAGTATGGCCCTATACAAAAGTACATATATATAGATCAGTGGAACCCAACACAGAGCCCAGAAAAAAAACCCATGTTCAAATGGTCAATTAATCTAAGATAAAGCAGGGAAAAGTATACAATGGAGAAAAGACATCTCTTCAGTGGAGAAAAGACATCTCTTCAGTAAATGGTCCTGGGGAAACTGGACAGCTCCATGCAGAAAAATCAAACTGGACCACGTTCTTAAACACACAAAAATAAACTCAAACTGGATTAAAGACCTAAACGTAAGACCTGAGATCATAAAACTCCCAAGAGAAAACAGAGGCATAAACTTGTGGATAGCAGTCATAGTAGTTTTATCCTCAGGCAAAGACAAAACAAGCAAAAATAAACAAATGCGACTACCTCACACTAAAAAGCTTTTGCACAGCAAAGAAAATCATCAACAAAACAAAAAGAAACCTACAGAATGGGAGAAGACATTTGCAAATGATGTATCTCATAAGGGGTTCATGTCCAACATATACAAAGAACATATACAACTCAACACAAAAAACAATCTGATTAAAAAATGGGCAGAAGACCTGAGTACACTTTTTTCCCCAAGGAGGACATACAAATGGCCAACACACACATGAAAAGATGCTCAACATCACCAATCACCACGGAAATGCAAATCAAAACCACGATGAGCTATCGTCTCACACTTGTCAGGATGGCTATCATCAAAAAGAAATAAAAAGTGTGTGGGAATGTAAATGGATACAGCCACTATGGAAAACAGTACAGAGGTTTCTCAAAACACTAAAAATAAAACTACCATACGGGGCACCTGGGTGGCTCACTCAGTTAAGTGCCCAACTTCGCTCCAGTCACAATCTTACCATTCTGGAGTTCCGGCCCCACGTCAGGCTCTGTGCTGACAGCTCAGAGCCTGGAGCCTGTTTCAGATTCTGTGTCTCCCTCTCTCTCTGTCCTTCCCCTGCTTGCACTCTCTCTCTTTCTCAAAAAGTAAATAAACATTTAAAAAATAAAAAAAATTAAAATTAAACTACCATATGATCCGGCAATTCCACTCACAGGTACTTAACTGAAGAAAATGCAAACACTAATTAAAAAACAAACAAACACACACATCTCTATGTTTACCACAGTTTTACAACAGCCAAGATATGGAAGGAACCCTAGTGCCCATGAATAGATCAATGGATAAAGAACACATAATGTGTGTGCATCGTACAACGGAATATGACTTCACCATAAAGAATGAGATCTTGCCATTTGCAACATCACAGATGGACTTGGTGGTATTATGCTAAATGAAATGCAAGGAAAGAGAAATGAAGTACCACATGATCTCACTCACACGTGAAATCTAAAGAACACAAATGAACAAACACAAAGAGACTCAAATACAAGAACAAACTCGTGGCTGTGAGCAGGGCGGAGGATGGGAAGATGGGTAAAACAGGAAAAGGGGATTAAAGACACCAATTTCCAGTTAGAAACGAGTCACAGGGATTTAAAGTACAACATGGGGAGTATAGTCCGTTCTGTAATACCTCTGATGACGGACGGTAGCGAGACTTACTGTGCTGAGCAATTTGTAATGTACGCACATGTTGAATCACAACGTCGTACAGCCGAAACTAAACCTGTATGTCCACTACAGCTCCAAAAAGACAACAAAAAGGACTCCTCCAACTCCACGGCGACACATCACTAATCCAATTAATATGGGCAAAGGACCTCAACGGACATTTTTCCAGAGAAGATACGCAAGTGGTCAACGAGTACATTAAAAGATGCTCACTGTCGCTCGGTACCAGTAAAATGCAAACCAAAGCTGTGCTGACGCATCAACTCATGCTTGTTAGCACGGGTAAGATCAAGACCACTGATAAATGCTGGCGAGGATGTGGATGAAAGGGAAACCTCGAGGGCCGTTGGTAGAACTGTCAAGTGGCACAGCCACTGGAGACACCAGCATGGAGGTCCCTCCGAAAATCAACAGCAATACCCTATGATTCAACAATTCTACTTCTGGGCATTTGCCCAAAGGAAACAAGAAAACTGTGTCGAAGAGATCCCTGCACCCCCACGTTAACAGCAGCTTATCTACAACAGCCAGACAAGCATGGAAACCTACGGGTCCATGAGGGGACGGGTGGGTTAGGAAGTTCTGATACGTGATACATACACAACGGATATTATTCAACTACAAAAAAGGACGAAATCCCACCACTTTCAACACCATGAGTGACCCCCGAGGGCATCGCGTTAAGCAAAGTAAATCAGACACAGGCAAATACTCCATGATCTCACTTACCTCCGGGATTTAAAATAAAGAAACAAACCAAGCTCACAGGAAAAGAAATCAGAGTGTGGTCACCGGAGGCAGGGGTTGGGGAGGGGAAGCAAATGAAGGTGGTCAAAAGGAACAAGTTTCCAGCTGTAGGATAAGTACTAGGGCTGTGATGTGTAACAGTACCATGGTTAACACTGCAGTATGATATACAGGAAAACTAGGAGTAAATCCTCAAAGGCCACATACATCACAAGAACCAAAAAACCCTCTTTTCATTTGTTTTGTTTTCTGGGTTTTTCTACCTAGGAGATGATGGATGTTAACTTACTATGGTCTTCACAATCTAAATCAAATCAGTACAGTTATACCTTAAACTTATACAATGCTGTATGTCAACTATCCTCATTGAAACCGTAAAAAATGTTAAGTCTGACGGTGGCATTACGATGGTTTAAAAAAAGAGTGTCCTCTTGTTTATAGGTGAAACAAGCCATCTCAATACACACACCTTCATGATAAATGCCAAACTACTCCTTAGGGGGTTTTCAGCCAGTTTCCTGTGGAGAAAATCACAAATGATTCATGTTTTCATTATCTGTAAAGTTAGCTGCTGTTTGCTCCTTCCGTTTTCTCATCACACTAAACAGACTTGACGGGACTAAGTAACTCAGGAGGACAGTTTGCTTTAACACCTTTGGGAATTTTCACCAGGCACGATTGTGAAGAACAGGTGTGTTAAGGGTGACAAACAAAAAAGTCTTATGAATGGGCTGCAACTATTCTGTGCAGCTTTTCAGGTAAATAAGTCTTTCGGTTATGAGACTTCTCTCAAGGCATCTGTCCCTACCCTTCCTTGATAACTACTGGGCTCCTATCCAATCAAAACAATGGGAATAAAAATAACGAAATCTGGGGCGCCTGGGTGGCTCAGTCAGTTGAACGTCCGGCTCTTGGTTTCAGCTCAGGTCACGACCTCGCAGTCGTGAGCTCAAGACCTGCATCGGGCTCTGCGCAGACAGTGAGGAGCCTGCTTGGGATTCTCTCTGCACCTCCCCCCGCGCTCTCTTGCTCTCGCAAAGTAAGTAAACTGGACAAAAAATAACAAAAGCACGGTAGTACTAAGAGCACCCCGTGTCCCCCTCCCCGACCTCATGGGGGTGAGCCCAAGAGGAGGACCCCTGGATTGCCTGCCTTTCTCCCCACGTAAGATCTTATCGTTCTTTCCCAAGGCGGTCAGTTTTAAAAGGGCACCCCCGTGGCAAACAACGCCGACTCAGCAGGGGCTCCCTGGAAAGGCTGGCGCCCACCTGCCCACGTCCCGTCGTGACCGTCACCCTCACTCCGCGCCGCAGCCCTGGCCACGTGCTCCGCTCCCCACTCAGGTCTCACGGCTCGCAGGTGCCCCCAGACCAGTATTTGTAACGTTGCAGGCAATTCTAATGTGCTGACACGCGAGGAGCCTGCTCTAAGGCTTTGCAGGTTTCCGACATGCCGAGGGGATAACATAACGACAGAGGACGTCTCTGAGGTTTACCCCGCAAGAAACCGCTTCAATCTGAGGTCACCCACCCAGTTCACACTGCATACTTCCCACACCGTCCCCCCGTCTTTCTCCAAGACCAGGGGCTGCTTCACCCCCCCCCCCCCCCCACAGCATCTCCCAGCAGCACCTGGTCCTGACCCCTTCCCGCGGGCCGAGGCCGCCGCTCCTGGGACCCGCCCCTCCGCCCGCCAGCCCGCAGCTGTTCTCAGCCGTGACCCGTGACAAGCCCCGAGATCCGCGGGCCCAGCTGTGGGGACCGGACCGGGCCAATCAACCCCCTGAGCTCACACCCTGAGCCCGCGGCTGGCCGTCCCCTCGCCACGATCCAGCACCACCTGTCTCCAGCTCCACCACGGCCATCCAGGCAGGGTATCCATTTGGGCTGATTTGTTTAAAATCCTGCAGTGCCTCCCACCCCATGGCCGGCAAATCCGAACTCCCTGAGGGGCTTCTGCGACCCCGCCCCTCTCCTCCCAGCCCCGCCTTCACCCGCAGGAAGCTCCTTCAGATCAGGGCAGAGCTCAGATGTTCCTGCCTGGCCACAAGGTCACTGGCCTGACCGCTGTTGGGGGGGGGTGGGGGGGGTGGGCACCTGACTCAGCAGGAAGACGGCCTGGGGCACAACCCTGGTGAGGCGGGGCACATCCCCACTGACCTCCTGGATCCTCGAATCCCCCGCCCTCCTTGGAGACTTCACCTGAACCTAAGAACACACACAGCCCTGCCCCCCCCCCCAACACGACCGCCAACCCTCCCGCTAACATTTAAGGCCGCTCTTCACAACCGTAAAGTGAAAGGCCCTGTATCCAGTTCAAGGAATGCCGGACAGGGAAGGGTTCGGAAGGGTTCGGACAGGGAAGGGAAGGAAGGTTGACAAAGGAGCTCCCAGCTCATCTCACAAGTAAGACTGGGGTAGCAAGCATTAAAACCGGCTTCTCCTGTTTCAACGGAAATGTACAAGAGGTGTTGTGCTGAGCACTGAGGAAGAAGTGGTGAGTGACAGAAGGGACTTGTGGGCTGGCGAGGCCGACTTAAACCCTCAACCAGATGCAGTCGGTCAGAGACTGTTCCCCCGAGGAAGGGAAGTTTCAGCTGAGATTGGAAAGCTGAATGGGTGTTAACCAGGCAAAGGCAGGAGGGAAGAGTTCTTCAGGGAGTGAGAACAGTACATGCAAAGGCACGGTGGCAGAGAAGGCGAACACAGGAGGGACCAAAAAAGGGTCACTGTGGCCAAATAGCAACCAGGAACACATTTAGTTTTTCATCTGTGCCAGGTGCCATTTTATTTTATTTTATTTAAAAAAAAATTTTTTTTAACGTTTATTTATTTTTGAGACAGGGAGAGACAGCATGAACGGGGGAGGGGCAGAGAGAGAGGGAGACACAGAATTTGAAACAGGCTCCAGGCTCTGAGCTGTCAGCACAGAGCCTGATGCGGGGCTTGAACTCATGGACCGCGAGATCATGACCTGAGCCGAAGTCGGACGCTTAACCGACTGAGCCACCCAGGCGCCCCCCCAGGTGCCATTTTAAAGGCAGCTGATTCACATGTTACCTCATGTAACCCATGATTGCACCTGAACTTGACAGAAAGCACTGAGGCACCAGGACAGTACCTAACCAACCCAAGCTCACTTCAAAGCAAAACAATTATTTCTTCTTTTTTTATCTTCCCTGAAACAAGGGCATGCATACTGGCTGGGGGAGGGGGGGGGGGAGACATGAAAAACTCGTGAATCAAATTCACTGTGGAGTGAAAGTAGTCAAGCCAGTTCTCACTACAGTCAGTTGAGAGACTAAAACCATCACTTTCCAACTAGGTGTTTTCATGCTGTAAGACTGTAACCACAGTGAAATGTTTTGCAGGAGACGATTAATTCCCTTTTTAAGAATCGGAGCCCATGTAGTTAAGTTCAAGTTGAAAAGAACTAAAAATACTTAGTGGAAGTCATTTGAATAATGGTTAAAAAAAAAAAACTTTTCCCAAATTCCCACAGGAATACACTATTTTTATAGGTAGAAAAAAAAAATAAGGCAGAAACAAGCTAATACAATGACAACCTAATCAACAAATGGGCAAAGGACTTGAGACATTTCTCCAACATGAACCAATGGCCAATAAACACAGAACAGATTCGTGCCTTCGAGAGTCAACAAAGAAATGAGACACTGTCTCATGCTAGACTGGGGCTCCCCAACCCCATCTCAATGTGAGAGGCATTCCCCCCACCCCCCTGGACCACCACGCAGCTCTTGGGACCCTAGCAGGGTATCCGGAAACTGAGTTCTGACTTACCCACCCGGACACAGCGTGGGATCCTACAGGCGAGGGCTGGGTCCCACAAGACCACCCCCAGGCCGCTGGCTGTGCTTCTAACCACCCGCTACGGTTTGGAGGTTCCAATGACCCCTTAGGCTCTTTTAATTTGCCAGAGCAGCTCACAGAACCTGGGGAATAAAGGACACAAGGCAGCATCCAGACGCACAGAGACAGGGGACGAGGTCTGGCAAGAGGCACGGAGCTCTGATGCCCTTGCCAGGTGACGCTCTCCCGGTATCCCTCCCTGTTCACCACCAGGAAGCTCTCCAAACGCCCTCTTCTGGGTTTCCCAGGAGGCTTCATACTTGGTCATGTCTGACTAAGTCATTGGCCTAGGCCAACTGAGCCTCCTGCTCCCAACCTCCCCTCCCAGAGTTGGAGACTGAAAGTTCTAACCAACCAACCAACCAACCAACCACAGGGTAGGGCCGGCCCCACCTCTGGGTGGGGTCTCAGAGTCACCTCATTACGGTAACAAAAGACACCTTTAGCACTCTTAACACTTGGGAAATTCCTAGAGTTTAGCTGTGAGCCCGAACCACGGAGGAAGACGGAAAGCACAGGAGGAATATACTTGGGTAATCCGAATGACGCGTATGTATTTCTTACAAATCTCAGGACCGCACGTACCCCTGGGGAAAGGTAGAATCCGAACGTGACAGCATCCTCATGTACCGCCCGTCGGAATGTAAAGGGTGCAGATGATGTGGGAAGCAGGCTGGCAGGTCACTGAGCACGGCGTTTCCACAGGACCCAGCGATTCTCCTCGGTAGTACAGCCAAGCACACACATCCACACAAAAACGTGTACGCGAATGTTCACAGCCGCGTGATTCCCAACAGCCAAAAGGTAGAAACGGCCTAAGCGTCCATCGACAAATGGACGGAGGAGCAGACTGTCGTCTATGCATCCAGGGGAACAGTACTCAGCCATAAGAGGGAACGAACCGCTGGCCACACCACCACTTGCATGAACCTAGAAACACTGCTAACGCCAAGACGCCAGTCTCCAGAGAGCACGTACTTCACGACTCCACTCCTATCAAAGTCTGGAAGGACATCCACAGAGACAAATTGCATGGGTGCCTGCCTGGGGCTGGGGGCAGGTGGGCAGGATGGACACAGTGGGTAACAGCTCAAAGGCAAAGTGTTTTTTTTTTCTGAGATGATGAAAATGGTCTAAAACGGACCGCGGGGACGGTTGTACGTATCCGTGAGTACACGGAGAACCACTCCACTGTATGGCATGCGAAATTTACGTCAAGAGAGGGGTTTTTAAAAAAGAATCGTAAATCGGGGCGCCTGGGTGGCTCAGTCGGTTAAGCGGCCGACTTCGGCTCGGGTCACGATCTCGCGGTCCGTGAGTTCGAGCCCCGCGTCGGGCTCTGGGCTGACGGCTCGGAGCCTGGAGCCTGTTTCCGATTCTGTGTCTCCCTCTCTCTCTGACCCTCCCCCGTTCACGATCTGTCTCTCTCTGTCTCAAAAATAAATAAATGTTAAAAAAAAATACATTAAAAAAAATAAATAAAAAAGAACAATAAAAAGCCCCTGAAACCAGTATGAAAATAGTCCCCACTCAGTTGAAGGAATTTAGCTCCTAACAGACTCTATGAATCACATCTCAGATTAGCAAGCAGTAGAATGTCTATTACCTGGAGTCTGTAGGAAACAGGCCCCTTTTACTGCCAGTGGGAGGAAACAAATGTGACATTCTTGGGAGAAAATTTAGCAAAAGTCACCAATTAAAGTAATACACCATTTGCCTCGGTGGCTCCCCGGCAGGAAAGAACCCACGGGTGCCCTCGCACGGGCGTGCACCAAGACAGGCCAGGAGAGGCGCTCGCCACAGCCCTGCTTAAAACCGAACTGCAGATGACCTACATGTGCATCACCAGGGGGCGCGTGAGTGAGTTGGGCTGCGTCTGTCCTGTGGGCCAGCACGCGGCCGTGAGGAAGGACGAGGTTTAAGTGAGACCAGCTGGGCAGCCAACAGCGTGCCTGGCGTCACCCACCCATGTTGATGGCAAACGTGTACACCACAGACAGATCACGCGTACGCGATTTTTTGCAAGGATACCTGCGGAAATGTAGACCTTTCCGGCTCCAGACCCTACACGAACGGCTATTCCCTAACTGGGATACACCAGGAGAAGATGTCTGGGTGGGCAAGGAGTCTAGCTCTGAGCCGGTACAGTCCATCTGGGAAAGGACGTGGCGGGGCTCGGTGCGGCAAGGAGACTGGAGCCACGTTCGGCATACTTCCAAGCACCGCTGAAATTTCTTATCGTGCACGTGCCTTGTGTGTTGAAATTAGTTGTAAATAAGTTACACGGTAAGAAAAAAGATACAGAGGACCCCAACCCTGAGCACCTGAAGCCCATCAGTGCGCAACTCTGGCCACTGTAGCATGCACTGCTGCACCCTGGGGCGGGTCATGAGTCCAGAGCAAGCCCGCCAGCTTTCTATGGAAAAGGAGTATTTGCCAAAAAAGAGACATAAAGCAAGAAGTGCTGTGGATTTGGTCCCAGCTGAGTCCCAGCTCCGACTCGCACTGGCCTTCAGATGGGGGGGGGGGGGGCGCTCCTGCACCCCGTGTGTGCCGGACCCCAGCCCTTGGCATGCATCGCCCAACCCCACCCAGAGGTCTGGGTGCTGACTCTTCTGCCCCGGGTCTTCCCTTGGTGCCCAATTTCACCCCCACCGTGTTTGGTTGTGCCTGTCTCTGAAAGGCAAGAGTGTGTAACAACTCCCCCACTTGGACTTTTCTCATTTCCTTTTCTGTGGAGTTCTTGTCAGCCCTGCTGGATCCCTGCACGCCTTCTTCGTCCATGTCCCTCACGCGGTTTCTCCCGCCAAGCCCCCCGCCCGGCCCCCGGAACCGCAGCCGACAGGCACTGCTCCCGGGTTCTCCCCCACCTTGCGGACTGGTGGGTCCCCCAGCCCTGCAGCCGCGAGCCTGGAAACGGTGGCAGAGGCCTGAGGCTGCGGCCACCTCCCCGTGGCTCACGGGACAACATCTGTGGCAGCAGCTCGCTCCGTGAACCGGGGCCCTGACGCCAGCCCGATGCATGCTTCTAGCAGGTGCTTCGGGAAACAGAACACCAAGCCAGTTCCACCGTGACGCCTGCCATCGCGGGGCCCACAGCAGCTCAGAAACGCCGCAGCTTGAAACCCCTGGACGGCTGACTTCCCCCGCCCAGGAAAGGCCCAGAGAAGTTAGCACAGTTGCCTCAATCCACATTTCTGGTCTCTTCTTCTTACAAGCCTGCTCTTTTTTGAGGTCTCCAAATAAAACCTCACTTCTTAAATACTATTTCCATGCCCTGATCTCCTACATGCGGCGATGTGACCACAGTGTCGTCGCCTCACCGTGCCAGCCAGGACCCGCCTGTGCCCCTGCCACATAAGAGGCTCAGTCCCGTTCCAGGCCCCTGTGCCAGCAAGTCCCTCTGGCCAGAGCGCCCCTCCCCCAGACTTACGGGGCTGCCCCCCTCCGACAGGCAGGTCTCCCAGACCACACCACCTCTGGGAAGTCCTCCCTGACCGCCTAATCTGAAGCAGCCCTTCCGGGGCTCCCCCACCTCATTTCCTGGTTCACTTCTGTGTATGTTCATTCCATCCTGTTTACTCTTTAAATCACCACCCGAAAACACCTTCCTCAGCCTTTTATCTCCATGGCGTCTACACCCGCTGTGAGATCCTTCGTGCGGGCAGGGCTGTCCTGTTGACAACCCCATGCCGGAGCCGGCCACGGGCGGCTGGCACACGAGACGAACACCTGTTCACTGAGCACGAGTGCACACAGTACGCGTGACGTTCCCGCCCTACATTCCCGAAGACAGCATCTGATGATGTTAAAAATCACCATCGGTTTTGAAATGCAATCTTGAAAACAGGAGTTGAACACGACAAAAAGTCTCAGAAACGGACGTGGTTCTGTAAGAGCAAGCGAGCTCCTCGGGGCAGTTTAGGAAACTCTGCCGCCCTCGTGTGCAGAAATCGGAGCCCGAGCCAGGTCCGTGTGCTCGGAATCGCTCTGGTCCTGCCACATCTGTGGACAAAACCACGCCAACTACAGACGTGGGAAGGGGCCGGACCCGGGATGTGGCACCAGGCCCCAGGCAAGTCTGTGTGCACCGCACGTGAAGGGAGACGAACTCGAAGCAAATGAGGCCCAAGGAAAGAGCTTCAGCCTGGATGGTAATCTCCTGTCCTGGGGAAGCATCAGTGATAAGGGGTCACCGGTGAGAAACGCTGTCCCTTCTGAACCATGTCCAGCTCCCCTGTATCTCTGCCCAAACCTGTTGCTAACAGGTAACCTGGGCATGTGGCATCCCTGCACCGTCAACAATAAATTCATCCAGACTCTAAAATAGAAGCCCTCTGACCGTATGTAAAATGAGAAGAACGGTTTTCTCTACAGGCTGAAAACGTGTCCCAAGATCTGATAAAATACATTTTTTTAAAAAGCGCTCTCATAATTGCCCAACAATAATCATTATTACATTTTAGGTAATGTATCTTTCCCCCTCCATTTAAAAATTTCTGTAGAATCACTAAAATGAAGTAAGACCCTCTAGAAAAGAGTGTCAAAAATATAGCTAGTACTCATCAGACGACGATGGGGGCGTATGAAAATACAACCCTTACATATAATTGAGTGGCACAACCCCAAAGGGACCTCAACTTCTGATTCTCTGACCTCAGGCATGGACATTATTCTACGAACAACAACAAAGCAGCTATAATAATAGAGAACACTGGAGCACGGACCAGTCACGTCTGCAAAACACATACAGTGGTTCTTTGATGAGGTCAGTCAGCAGTGACAAAACACATATTTGGTTCCACAATTCAGTTCAACCCACGTGTTACCTCCTACGCACTGGGCACAGAGCTGGGATGATTAAGTCATAGACACCACTCTCAACGAACTTAGATGGAGACTAAAAACAAACCAAACAGAGAAAAAAGATTTGCTGAATCTAATGTGTGGAGTCCTTTTTAAAAAACGGACAGGCACCAATGTCTCCGGGAGTGTTGCTGGCACTTTGCACTTTTTCCAAGAACACCATCCTGCAGTTCACAAAAGACAGCAGTGTGCTAGAGAAAAGTGTTCTTTTCCTTTTGGAATCGATGCCAGATAAACCATGCTGGACAAACAGCATCAAGTAAATTGGTGATGTTTAAAAACAATGTTTCCAATATAGAAGGGTTTGCCTTACTACAGAAGACAAAATAGTAAGCATGACGTCCTATAAAAATACACAACTGCAACACGTTATGTGTTTCAAGATCCAAAGAGGCTGTAATAAGAACAAGTTAACAGTTACGGAAAGGGTTACACAATGAACAACCAAAAAATTTTTATAGCAGCTGTATTATCCGATGTCTTAAGAAAAACCTTTTGAGGCCATGCCTCTTTTTCACTCCACAAATTTCCTGGTGCCAGAGTTGAGGGCGTGTGAAATCATCCCACTGACTAGAGGCATTGATCTTTAACAACTTGTCCACAAGTGTCAGCGGTGGTATTTCTTCACTGAACAGGGTTTTTAAAGGTAAGACCACACCACGGTTTCAGGAAATGCCGCAAGGGCACCCAGGTTTCGAATCCCAGGAAGTGAGTTTCAAATCTGGGCTGTGCCATGGGACCTCGGGCAAGCTTCTAAACCACCCTGGGCCTCAGTTTCCTCCTGTGTGACAGAGAACCCCAACCCTGCCCCCCCCCCCCCCCCCCCGTCTGCACTTAGATCAGCAAACGTGTGACAAGTTTCTTAGGCATTGCAGGCATTCTGTAAATGCTGGCAATTAACACGGTTGTTACTGCTATCTTTCCTCTACCTCCTGGGTTTGTGCAAAGTCGATGCTCAGCGGTACTCAATTAGATTCAGTAAAGGCCAACAGGAAAAGTCACCTAATAACCTAGTTAAGATATTTTTTAATAAACCCTCATATAACTGTCCGGCAATAATCGTTATGACATCTGGGGGTAATCTATCTAGTCTTTTTCCCCAGACGAAGAATTGCCTACAGAATTACTAAAGCTAACATAGAAGAGTGCTCTCTATTCAGCCAGAAGCCAGTCGGGGAGGAGACACGATGAGAAGCACAGAGGTAACTGAGAACACGACATACGCAGAGCACGGAGACGCTGACGGCAGTCGGCACTCCACAAAGCCACGCAACAATGCGAACGTACGTAAAGCTGCTCAACCGTTCACTTAGAAATGGTTGACATTCCGGGTTTCACATGATGTGTATTTTTCCACAACGAGATAAAATAAAACAACCACAAGAACTCCAAGAAGTCAGGGCTTGGACAACCTTGTGTCCTGGGCACCCAGAATGCCTCCGCACATTCCAGACCCTCTGTAAATACTCGGTGGATGAAAAGTGGAGACCACGGGTCTGGTAAGGGGACCTTCGTACCTGTTCTGGTTTCGACCTCAGTGCAAGCAATGTGCCGTGATGGTTTACTGCTGACGCCCAGGACATCAGCGTGGTTCCCAGATCCCTCCACGCCGGTGGGCTCTCAGTTCCAACCAAGACACCCGTGTGTCAACGGGAAGCAAGTCGGGGGGCTGCGACCTGACCGGCGTCGGAAACGTAAGCAGGGTCTCCCTGGAGTCACCCACGGCGGACGGGCCCGGAGCGGCTCGTCGCACCGGCGACACGGGCAGACTCAAGTACTCAGGTTTCCCATCAACAGCACGGTGCCAGACCTTCACGTCTAAAAATGGGCTTCGAAGCTCAGTACGAAATTCCAGTAAGACACAAAGTGTCAGCATTCATTCAGGTCCTTGCCGGCCCGAGAAAGAATATGACCTGGCGGGCTATCCGCTATTGCTGCCCACTAAGCGCAGCCCTGGGAGGAGGGTGCGGGGACCTATGAATCAGGGACTCGTGGCCCAAACAGGTCACCGTCCCAGCTCCTCGTGCTCCCCTGCCGATCTCACTTTCCGTCCCCGAGACAGATGAAAACCAATGCTTTCCAACCTGTCTAAACTCACCTGTTGAGTCAGCACTGTCGTTTCCTGGAGACACCAACTTCCTTGCGTCTGGAGGTCCTGTAAAAATAAAAACATGTCCTGTGATGAAAAACCATCTGATATTTATCTGAGGCCCCTGGCATCGGGTGGTGGTGCTGCGGGGGGAAGGCGGATGTCCACAGCAGGGTCCGCTTTTGCCACTGTTGCTCTGAAACGTACCTTTCAAATAAGTGTCAGTAAATGCGGGGCCGTGTGACTGGAGTCCTTCAAGACAGAAAACACGCAGCTTACGTAACCAACACGCATACGGTACTTGCTATGGGCCAGTACCGAAAAATCCGTCCACCTGCCCGTGGACACGGTGAGGCGCGAGACAGAAACCAATCTTTGCTACTGACCCCTCTGCTCGGCCGAGCGCCGTGGACCGCCCGCCCGGGGGGTCCTGCACCACCAAGACCCCCAACTTTGGACAGCAGAGAGCAGACGACCTGGGTAGGATTTTCCTTTTGTCCCCCATCTCACCTCTGGCAAACAGCAGTCTGTTCTCTGTGTTTTAGACTTTGTCGTTTTTTTGCTTTGTTCATTTGTTTCTTAAACTCCACACGTGAGTGAAATCATATACTTTTCTGACTTACTTCACTTAACGTCATACTCTCTAGCCCCATCTATGTGGTTGCCAAAGGCAAGATTTCACTCTTTTACAGCTGAGGAACATTTCATCACATGCGGGCGCACATCTTCTCTGTCACCTGCCGAGGGACACTTGGGCTACTGCAAATAATGCTGCAGTAAACATAGGGGTGCATGCACCTTTTCAAGTAAGTGTCATTTTCTTCTGATAGACATTCAGAAGTGCAATTGCTGGCCATGGGGTAGTTCTATTTTTAACTTTTTGAGGAGCCGCCATACTGTTTTCCACAGTGGCTGTACCAGTTTGCCTTCCCATCAACAGTGCATGAGGGTTCCTTTCTCTCCACCAGCACCTGTGCTTTTTTACCTTTTGCTAGCCATGCTGACAGGTGTGATGTGGTTTTTACTTGTGGTTTTGATTTGCATCTGACGAGTGACGTTGAGCATCTTTTCGTGTGTCTGCTGGCCATCTGGATGTCTTCTTTGGGGAAATATATATTCAGGTCCTCTGCCCATTTTTTAATTGTATTGTTTTGGTGTTAAGTTAACTTAAGGTCTTCATCTATTTTGGATATTAGCCCCTTAGGATTTTCATTTTTAATTGCAAGCCTTCTCACAGAAGTAGGATTCTTTTAATTTCTAACTAGTACTCTAAGATTTGGAAAAAGTTTAGAAGAATTCTATGCCCCAGTTAAGCAACTTTGCAGAGCGGTTTATTCAACCGGGCTCTTGGTATCATGGAGTATAAAATATGTACATCACATAGGAAGAGAGCAAGTATATTACCCACGAAGATAGCCCTCCCCGACCCAAACAACCCTCACAGCACAAGGTACGCAGTAATGAGTCTGAAGGATCTATTGTCACTGTGTGCACACATTTCTTTCTCTTAATGAACTATCCCATTTGGTGTGAAGGTAAATCGGATGATCAAGGCCTGCAGACCGTCCTTCTCCTGGTCTGCTAAGAGCAGCCTTGAGGGGGGCGCTAGCATTCACGGACGAGTGACTCCTGGTGAAAACGAGGCAGTGTCCCAGAGGTGCGTGTTCGCCTCACTGTACCGTCCTCACGTATCCGGCAGCTGGTATCGAATGCTGGCCGATATTGGGAAGAACCTTCTGCACGCCAGGACTGCGGGGGAGCACGTGACTGGCACTGGCTCACCCAGCCCTGCCGACAGGTCCTAGACAGGAACACCGTCGTCAGGGCCGGGAAGGGAGGTCCAGAGAAGGCCACCCCGCTAGAAAGGGGCAGAGCGTGGATGGGGACCAGGCTGCTGGACCGCAAAGCCCCTGCGTGGGAGCGCCGAAAACCAACGGTTGATTTTCTGCTATAAACCTGCTTCCTTCCCAGGCTTCTCGGCTGTTGTGTTTCCAGTTGTTCAAACCCAGACCAAGAGGTCACGCCTGGACGACACCTCTTCCCCACTCCCTCACCCAGTTAGCAAGGCGTTTCAGTTCCACCCCCAAACAGATAAGCAACACACGCACTGTCTACACTCCCAACACGCCACTGTCTTTCTCCTAGGCTACTGTTTCTGTGTCCCTGCCATTGTCACTCTTACGAGGCATCATTTCCTGGCGACCTTTTTTGCTTGAAAAAGAGACAAAAGCAGATGATCTTTGCAGCTCGAGGACCTTCCTCCTTTTTGCAGTCAATTACTTATGAAGCAGGTACCGTGGGTAGGCAGGTTTTGTATCCTAGGAGACAAAGATACCGAGCACCTACCTACAAAGAGGCTGATGCTTTCTGTGACGGAAACCAAACATTAACATACAATAATGTGCTGAATGGTAGAAAGTTACATTCATCAAGTGGTTCAGACTCACTGGGGATTAATTTAATCCCCTAACTGGCTGCCCAGTAGGGTGGTGTTTGGTGCCTGGGACTCACTTTAGAAACTCCCAGTTACTAGAAGTCCCTCCCTGAGACTCGCCCGGGCTGAGAACATGTGAACTATGGCTTTCCTGAGAGTGGACACATGTCATCAAGAGAGCCGCAAGTGGCCATCTCCGGGCAACCTGTTTGAACTCTTGACTCCCGCATTTCTGGAGCCACCTGTGTTCTTGGACTTTTCTGTCCAAGACTCAACAAAGTCCCTTCTTTGCACTAAGGCTGTTCAAAATGGGTTTCTGTGACTTACCACCAAGGGTCCTGATGGACGCCGCCCCCAACTATCCTGCTTGCCGCTTCACTAACATGTTCACAGCCTTCCCCACACCTCCAACTGAAGATATTTACGAAACTACACGGCAGACTGAAGGAGATTTTAAACAAGAATTTCAATGTTTTGATCTTCTCCTGCAATATTCCAGGTAATAGCACATTGGAGACTGAAGCATTATTTACCAGCACAGCCAACACCACCTAAAGTGACCTAATGGCAAAATGGTTAATTAAGAGTTTGGATTTTAATCTCTGAAATCAAACATGTTTGAGCTGTTTTACTTTGAATATATTAAGTTAGGTCTAAGCCTCCGTTTTTTTCATCTATAAAATGGGAAGAATACTGTGAAGATTCATCAGGATGAGGATTATCCTATTAGCATAATAGGACGTACACAGGAAACTGCCAACTGAAAACACTGTAAAAGCCCTAGTATGATTGTTTTTTGTTTTTTTAAGTTTATTTATTTTTGACAGAGACAGAGTGCAAGCATGAGCTGGGGGAGGGCAAAGAGAGAGGGAGACAGAATCCGAAGCAGGCTCCAGGCTCCGAGCTGTCAGCACAGAGCTCGACGTGGGGCTTGAACTCACGAACTGTGTGACCCGGGCCAAAGTCAGACACCTAACTGACTAAGCCACCCAGGCGCCCCATGCCCTAGTATGATTGTTAAAAATTACCGTACTTCACAAAGATACTTCATACACATTACACGCTCCACAGGAAGGCCAGGAAACATTTCCTTGTTTTGAGAAGTTCTCTACAGAACCGTCTTTTAGTCTAATTTCACAGTGACATTAGCCTCTGTAGACGTGGATTCCAGCTCCTGTTTGCTGTACTGGTTCATGAAATGAAGGCTCTCCTGCAGCAGAGATTCATTCCCAGATTTCCAAACAGCGCTCACCTCTAGTGAGACGTTAAGTAATAAACAGAACAGTCCAACAGTGAGTATTAAAACAAGGCAATCTGGGGCGCCTGGGTGGCTCAGTCGGTTAAGCGTCCGACTTCAGCTCAGGTCACGATCTCACACTCCGGGAGTTCGAGCTCCGCGTCTGGCTCTGGGCTGATGGCTCAGAGCCTGGAGCCTGCTTCCAGTTCTGTGTCTCCCTCTCTCTCTGCCCCTCCCCCGTTCATGCTCTATCTCTCTTTGTCTCAAAAATAAATAAACGTTAAAAAAAAATTAAAAAAAAAATAAAACAAGGCCATCTGTTATTAGGGCAAAAAAAAAAAAAAAAAAAAAAAAACAA